CAAGTGTATAATAACATGGGTGACTACTCGAAAGCACTTGAATTTTACGAAAAATCACTTATAATTAAAGAAAAAGCTCTGCCTTCGAATCATCCCTCATTCGCTACTAGTCACTTGAATTTTGCAGCATGTTACGAAAGAATAGGTGATTACACAACAGCTCTTAAAGCCTTTAAAAATGCTTATCAAATTCAGCAAAAAGCTTTTGAAGAAGGTAATCCAGCTTTTGCTTCAACATACGGCTGGTTTGGAAGAGTTTATCGCAGTATGAAAGATTATCCAAAAGCACTTGAGAATTTCGAAAAATGTTTCTCAATACGTCAAAAAACTTTACCTGAAAATCATCCGTATCTAGCTCTTACATATAGTAATATTGGTGATGTTCATCGATTAATGGGTGATTATGATAAGGCAATTTCATTTCATCGAAAAGCATTAAATATTCAAGAAAATGTTCAATGTAATCCTCTCGAATGTGCAACGACATATATAAATTTAGGTGAAACATATCGTCAAATGAAAGATTATACAACAGCATTGACATATTATGAAAAAGGATTAGAAATACGTGAAAAGAAACTACCAAAAAATCATCCTGATTTAGCTGTTGTATATCACAAATTGGCAAAATTATATTTATCTACTCGACAATATAATATGGCAATGAAAAATGTTCAAGAAGCCGTAGAAATTGCTCAAGAAAAATTACCTTCAAATCATCCTCATATTTTGGAATATAAAGAAACATTTGAAGAAATTCGCAAGAAAATGTAATTTGTTTTTTTTTTCGATTTGCTTAATAAATTTATTTGCATTACAATTGATTCTCGCGTACGCGCGCGCGCGACCAGGAAGACTCCCTGTAAACCCGCAATGGTTACACGCAGAGCTGACCACGCCGGACTGGTAGGGCATGATCATAGGTGTGACGTACGTAAACGGCGACAGGGACCTACGAACAGACGGCCTTCCCGAGTACTCCACTGCTATCGCCAACATAGGCACAAGAAATCTTCCTGGGTCAGATTACGAAGCCATCTGACGGGCTGTGATATAAAATAGTATCTATCTCCCTCTCTACAGAATAACACAAGTATGAAAGAAAAAAATAACTTGAAAAGTTCTAGTGGCCAATAGAACTTTTCAACTTATTTATAAATTTTTCATCCCAATACGAAAAAAAGAAAAAGAAACAACATACCCTATTTAAGATTGGAATATATATATGTATAAATATCATAATTATGTACATAATTATATCTTGCACCTCCTGAAAAAAAATAAAATTTATGAGAATACTTATTCAATCTATTGTTGATACAATAGATCGATTGAATTGAATGATTTTATACAAGAAAATCATTCCTTATATAGGATATTTGAAAAACATGAACTATCACTCAATGATAATGATTAATAGATAATCATCGACGATCAATTTATCGTCAGTCGACGATGAATATGTACTTATTCTATTTACATTACATTCACAGCCGTAACTCAGTGACTAAAAAAAAAAAAAAGAAAACAAAAACAATTCATTTCAATGGTTATTGTTTGAATTTCCATGTAGGAAATTTCATTCTTTTCTTTGACATCATTTTCATTGAATAATGATGATTATTTTCGAAAACTAAGATTTCTTCATTATTTTCATTATACAAACGATCAAATAATTTATGTAAATTTTTTTAGAGAAAAATCGTTTTAATCGATGTCTGTTATGCGAAATTTATCGTGTGTCACAATTTAAAATGAATGAATATATGGTTGAGTTTTTGATGAAGTTCTAGATCAATTAATTACTAAACAAAGATTTATTGTAAAATATTTTCGAATATATATTTGTTTTGATATATCAATTCTTTTCTAATTCATTTCATGAGTATTGTTCGGAATCTCATAATGCAAATCCATAAAACAATTATAACATCAGCCTTCACTTGTTATGATACTGTAGTTAGTCAGTGGTCTTTTGACTTTCCTGATTTCAGCATCATAGATTTTTCTTAATCAAACTAAATGTAATGATTTATCAGGTATAGATGGTAGTTCCAAAGCAATAAAGATTACTGTTATTGCTGGTAAAATTCGTCGTTGTATAATATATTCATTATTTTACTTTTTTCTTGCATCAGATATTTCTAAGAAATATTCTATTAATGGAGTATCACCATAGTTGTTTCGCCATTTTCTATTCTAACGTTCTTAACTGGTTATTCTAATTTTAAGGACTGATATAGAGAGTTTTTAGAACATATTTCTTTTAAATAAGAATCTTCAACTCATATTAATAAATTGTTTTGGTGTCTGACAAAGATGTTATAGTTGCTGTTGTCATTGATCTTTGTATTTGTCTTTCTTGTTATCATCCGTATTTCTAGATATGCCACGCATTAGACCATTTTTTTGTGATTACGATTTCTTAAATTATTTTTTCGTTGCATAAAGGACAAGCCAGAAATCTTGATACGATTTGAATATTAAAATTTTCTTCGTGAAATAAATATTTGTAAAATTTGTCTTTATGATGAAAAGATACAGTAAAACACACACACTACAATATAATTTTTTATTCACTTCACTATTTCATGTAGTGAGAATTGAAATAAGAATGCAACGTAACTCGTTCGTAAAGTCTCAGAGAACAAATTCGTTGTGTAAAATTGAAAATATATCATGTTAAGATTCTTTTTCTAAATCATAAATAAATAAGCCATCTGATAGGATCATCAAGCAAGATCGAACTTAGTTATGGTAACTTCTTCACTACCATTAAAAAGCCATATTTTTACTTAGATTTAAACAATAATTTCTTTGCTCATATCCCATTCAAAAACCAATTTTTTGTTTATTTTTATAAAAGTTTTATCTCAACTGATCAACTGATAAATAAATATATTGAAATCAGATTATGTTAAGTTAATAAAGAAGTACAGTTATTCAAGTCGAATTACCAAATCAGTTTTACATCCTTGTTATGACTTCATATATCTTATTTTTCGCGTAATTATTTATGAATGATATCAATTTATTATTTAAATTTTAAGTTGAAAAAAAAATAAAAAAGAACATGATTTTATTTGATTATTATTGTTTATGACCACAAGCCAGAAAATTTGTTTGATTATAATAAAAGTCGATTGTTTTATCAGCACATGCTCCTCCAGTTGGACCAACATGTGGACAATGTATAGATGGTAATAAAGGTACAAAATATGTATGAATAAAACGGCAAATAACATTTCCTTGATCTCCTCTTGCTACTCTTCAACTAAATCAGCTGATTTTTTTTCTTAGGATAGACCACAGATTGAAAGTTCTTATTCATGTTAAAACAATCCATACATATTAAATTAGCAAACTGTTCTTTTTTTCTTATATTTATTTGTTAATAAATGTCAAATATAAAATAATCAAAAAAAAAGGAAAAAGTTAATATTCTTCAATGTTTTGTCGATCTTTTTCAATTTGTAAAACTTTTTTGTTAAACAATTTGAATTTGAATCATCGGAAAATGTTCGTTTAATAGAATTATTTGTTGATTGACCAAAAAAAAGAGATTTTTTTTCATTTCTGTTAATAAGGATATTATCTTGATTATCATTTGAATTATTTATTTTTGATATTGTTGAAATAGTTGTTAAAAATTTACCATCTTCAGTTCAAGTTCGAGTCGTTCGTACTGTATCATTTGCACCTAGAATTTATTTATTTAAAAAAAAAAAAGAAAAAAATTTCAATATGATTTATATAATTTCAATCAATTAGATTTAATGAATTTTATAAATAATATTATTATTTTATTAATTTATTTAATATGTTAATTAATTGTTTATTTGAATAGGTCAACTAACAACTATTTTACTAAATATTTACTTATTTCATATATTTACATAATATGAGAGAAAAAAAATGTTTGAATAAATAAATAAATTTTATTATTCAATTAAGTTAAATAAAATTGATCGAAATATAAAAATAGTTCTTATGTATTTATTTAATTGTAGACAAATATTCTTATTTGTTTTATATTATATAAAAGAGAAGAATCTAATAAATAAATTCTATTTCAATTAATTCAACTAAGATTTTACTTATTTGACTAGAATTTTTTAATGAAAATTTTTCAAATCTAATCAAATATTTAATTCCAACGTAGATTTTATTAAAAAGAAAAATTCCCTATCGAAAATTCAATGGAGAATTCGACTTCTGTTTTTTTTTCTTTTTGTTTTTTAATGAATTAATCTTGTTAAGGATCGATATATCGTCTATATTTTAATTCATTGTCGATTAAATAACTTGTATATATATATTTGTTATTGTTGAATATAATAATTAATATATAGTTATCATGATCAATATTTATTAGAAATAATATTAAATAAATATTTAATTATACGATTGACAATAAATAATCAATAATAAAACAAAAAAACAAAGAAAAGAACAAAAGGTTACCTACTTGAATCGATGATGATAAAACATTCGATGTTGAATTTGTTTGAATTTTATTTAATGAATAATTAATTGAAGATCTATTTACGTTAACATGTCCTGATTTAATATTTTCAAATATTTTATTACTATAAGGAAGATCAATTAATTGATTTTCTTTTAAATTTTTATCTATATTCGGAATGTTTAGAAATATTTCTTTATAAAAACTAGTTATATCACCAATTATATATCCTTTGATGGTGTTAAACATGAATTTTTATCTTGAAGAAAAAAAAAAGAATAAATATCTTTAATTTAATATAAATCTCATTTTTAACAAAATCATATTTGTTAATTGAACGAATAAAAATACTTCGAACTGTTTTTAATTTCGAATTTGGCATTGATTTATGCACTGGAATTAATCGTGAACGAAATAATAATTGAGTATAATTTTCAAATAAATTCCAAATGATTCTTTCAAATTTATTTGATTGAGATCCATATAAACGATAACAAATATGATCAAGATGTGATAAGACATATTCATACAATTTAGTATATGGACTTAATTTAATATGTTTTTTATCATTATTTTCAACAATTCCATCTGATTTACTTCGATTTATTGTCAATTTATTCTAAACAACAACATCGTCTGTTTTTTTCTTTTTATCCTATTAATTCCTATGATTTATTTTCATTATGAAAGTTAATTCAAATGATAAATTAAAAAATTTTTGTTTTCTAAAATTCTATTCAACTTTTTAGAAAAAAAAAAAAAATTTTTTTTTAAACGAAATATTTCAAGAATTAAATTGATATTATATTAATAAAGATTTATTTTAATTAGTTAACTAAGACAAATAAAATGTCTTTGGTTTATTCTATAATAATATTTTGTTTGAATAAAAATAAAAATCTTTGACAAGATATTTTCCTTCGTTTTTTTTTTGTTAATTTGATTTTGAAAATTTTTGGGAAAAAAAAAGATATTCATTGAATATTGATAAAATCAATTAAACGAATTGAATATCAGAAGATAATCTTATTTATTGAAAATTTTCATTCAAAACACTTTCTTAAATTAAATTTCAATGGGTTCTACGTCTAAAAATAAAGATTGACACTATAGGGAATTATCGTCATTTTTCTCTAATATCCTCTATAAAAAGTGTGCTCTAGAAAGAAAAACAAGTCTTCGCCGTAGACAGGCTTTAAAATGGTTATTATTTATCGAATTATTTTCATTGTTTGACAAGCTTTTAGAAAAAGTCGACGACAATTATCATATTTCATAGAATTTCAGATGAGCTTATTTTCATCGTGCTCGATTATGAAAAAGAAATAAATTCTTTTTAAATCGATGATATATATTATCAAATGTTTTCTCATTGTTTTTTCATGATAAATATA